TCATTTCGCAACCGGTAGACTAACTGCTCACCAATTACCGGTCTCTTTGGCGCGCCTTTCTGGTCGAGCTGTTTGCCGCGGACGTGCTAACCGCGTGCGTTCTTCTATCACCGTTTGCCGCGCTGCGTGGTGAAGCAATATGTATGCAGGAAGCGACGCCGTTGAGTGGCGACCGTAAACGCGCCGATGGCGTCATATTTGGTGCGCGTCGGCTGGGCGTAATGGTCGACTGCGTAGTCGCGCTGCGGAGCTGCGAGCGAGTCGGCAGACGGAACGGGCGGAACGGAGCCACAGGTGGCAGCGGCAGCTGTGGGGCGGACCGCAAGTGTCCGTCGGGGACGGCGCGCGGGTCGGAACGCAGCTGACAGGTCAACAAACCCGCAGTGTGGGGGCTGAAACGAGCGGGGCGAGGTAGGGGTGGTGTCATGTGAGAGGTGTCGCATGGAGGTGGTGTGAGGGGATATAAAATTGTCAGCCTAGGGCATATCGATGACCCGTTTGGAGCAAAAAAGGAGTGTTTCCATATTACGTCTATCTATCTTTTTCATTTGTTGCTCGTACTGGGAAGGTTGATAAATGCGTAAATACGTCAGCAAATGATGATCCATTGATTCAAAATATTTGAAACGTAACGAGAAAAAGGAATGTCCACAGAGCTCAGAAACGGCTGACATTACCTTTTTTACATTTCTGGCAGACCTGGGTTTGGTCGCCGCGAAGTGATAGAACGATAACTTACTTGCGGGTTGCACGACCTCTTTATCGGTGATGAGCGCAAAGCCCGTCGGCTTGTCGACTTCTTAGCAGTATCCAGCTTACCACCGATTCGGCTTCTTTGTAGCGCAGTCACGTGCTAATTTGTCGTCTCAACTTTATCGTACTTAATCGTCCAACTCTGCAGTTTCTTATCGAAGGCTGTAAAATCAGATGTGTAAAATCTCTGAATGATAAAACAGCGAGTGAGGAAAGGCGAGACGGCCGGACACCGGCTTATAGAAAGTTTCTGATTACTATGCGAGATTGTCCCTGGGGCCGACAGGAAATGACGACATCGATTTAACGCGTCGCCGGGGATTAATACGATGGTCCACGGGACTTACCGAGAGCCGACGACAGACACTAAGCGGACCGCTCATCTCGGGAGGGGAGCCGTGAATGGGTGAAAAAGGCCAACGGCGAAGGCTGAGGCTAGGGCTAAGGTATGAAGGGGCTGGGCTGAGGTGGGACTTCAGGCCAGGCTTGGGACTGGGGCTTGACTGGAATCGAAGCTCAGATTAAGATAAAGATTGAGACTGGATCTGTATCGTACTTCGATTCTGCTTGTGCCGTGTTGTGACTAAAGCAAGTGCACCCATGTGTTGAAACAGACAAGGATATCCGACTGAGCCCGTTCCGGCGACCGCTGAGATAAGCCAGCCAGCTGTCTGCCTGTCTGTCTGTCGGCCGGTTTCGAGACCGGTGTTTCTGGTTACCGTGAGAGCGTGTCGTAAGCTCACACAGCCACCGACAGTGTCACTGAGCGGCCCGACCGGCCCGAGGTCGATGACCTGACCCGCGCCGTGTGTGTGTCGGGTCAGATCCTGGTCCTGGAGGTGGCGATGAACGTGATTTCAGCGGTAGGGTGAGACTGGTTAGTTGACCTGCTTTTGGGCATGGAGGGTGTGAAATTATGGAGAGAATGTCCACCTGTTACATAACTGCGGGGGTCATCAGTGGTTCTGGCCCGATATGAGAGGTAGTTTCATGCATCGCCTCCCCGGGAAGGCTTAAGATAAGCTTATGCTGTAATGACTACGACCCGGGTTATATTTGAAGCAGTTTGCTCTTGAAGTGAGCCTTTGAAACACTGTGTAACTAATGTGCTGATTGAGACGCATGTAAAATTACTGCAACGGGAATGAGAGTGTTTTTAATTTGGAAAATTATAATTGCTGGATACTTACATGACACTCCAACTACATCATAAAGCTGTCAACCGTGCACAGCAGTAACTACCTCCATTGCCATGCGTGGCGTGAACTACCAAGTCGACAAAGCTATGGCAGGAAAATGAAGGGAACATCGCTGATTTGGACCATCATTCTGGAAGCGAAGTTCCACCGTATACGGTTTTGAAATCGGACTCGCTCTTCTGAATCATCTGAAGTGGCAGTCTTGAAGATGAGGCAGTGTTGGTAATTCTTGTGGAGCTGCGTCTTCCAGCAGTGTAACATCTCATTGAGCTTTGACCGCACGACGAACTGGCTCCTGTGTCGACATCGACACGTGCACCACATTTAGACCAGATGTGGACCGATCCGCTCCACATGTGTGATCAGGGTCACCTGTCGTGTAGGTAGAGACTGACCCAGCCGGTCGCCGTCACAGATCCAGATCTCGCGTCACGCACCAGCGCTCTTCAATCAGCCTCGGCGTCATTTCCATCATCATGGACCGCTCAGGAGTCGGCAGATCGCCTTAGAGATACTCCAGCTGCGTGTACCGAGCCGGATCCGCGGCCGAACTGCCCGGTCAGCCTCCGAGGGTCTGACGTCACAGGGCGCGGCCGGTGACGTCAGCGGTCACGCGGGGCGGTGACGTCACCACGGCCACCCCCTGAGGTCGGTGACCGGCACCTGCCAAGGTCACGGCCCGTCCGGCGCCGGCCGGCCGGCCGCTCCCCAGACGTCGTGATCAGAGTTATGGCCGCCGACCCACGCCGTGAACTTCACGATCGGCGGCGTCGTGACGGACGCCATGGGGCAGCATTTCACGTTCCCGGCAGGAGGGCGATGAGCGGGCTCGGTTTTTGCTTTTCCGATCGATCGACGGCCCTATGCTCGGTCCTTCCTCTCCCTCTCCTCTCGCGGTTCTATGCACCTGTCCTGGATCACCTGTGTGGAGAAGATGCATCTCACCGCCGTGAGTGTGCTCATTCCTGGACAAAGCACGACGCTCATTCACGGGTCGCACCTGTCCCGACCAACCGCTGCCATTTGTTCATCACGTGGCGTTCCCACCAATATGCGTCATAATCACGTTCGATAGGGTGACACCTCTGAATACAGACGATAAATGGGCAAACGGTAGATGGCTGGAAGGACAGAGGGAACATAATGGATTCATTATACTAGAAAGATGCAGATGGAGAATTAGACAAAAACTGAGACCGAAAAGGACATGCCTAGACGGTATAGTAGAAACAGCTACAGGGGACGATTGGAAACAGATGAAAACAACCTGTTAGTTCATAACCGATATTGCAAGTGTCGTGCAAGGTACAGTTCTGTAAAAAATAATATTGTAATGCCTTCATAATCCTCAACCAAACTGACTGGGCAGAGAAGAGCTTCATATCGCGCGAAATCGACCACATTATGATTTATTTCTCTCCCATACCCACATCTGCGGCTGGTTATTCCCCGGGAGCTTTCCTCCAGTGGCAGTGCCACTCGACCTGCCACCACTGACCTTTCCTCTATTGCGGTCAGGCGCGTGTCATAGCGACCTCTCTCACCCTCCTTCCCGTCCCAGCTCTGCCGGTCTCGCCCCAGGGTCAGATCGGGTGGGCGGAGACCCGTCACCAGCAGAGGCACCCGTACCGCCTGTCCCCGGATCGAGAGCCCAGGCCGGCCTGACGGTGACGGCAGCAGCGGCCAACATGTGAACGTGAGGGAGACTGCAAATGCGATCAGAAACGGACACACAGAGACGGAGAACACACGCGGACTCTCTTATGCGATTTAGAAGTCTGCTTTTAGAAAGAGGTTTGCCTAAAAAGGGACAACCACCCCCAGCATAGCACTACACATCCGGTACTACCGTCCTGTCCTCATGTGCAGCGTTCGTGGCACTAGACACTAGTCAGTACAGGAACATTAGTTCGCCTTAATTAAATGGCACCGATTCGCATTGCACGTGCGTGGCCAGCGTGACACGTGCTGGGTCGTGGTTCCACGAACTCTACAATAACGGCTGTCACAATGCCTCCTCGTTTGATTTCCCTAGCTCTTTTGTTCCCACCCCACTTGTTGCAACCCAACACCATGAAGCCTCGCGATGAAAGCCCGGTGCCATCTCTCGGCACAGCAGCCGTCTTCTGTTGGACTGATTGTATTCATTGAATAGTCCGGAACCGTTGGATATCATTCTCTTCACCGCGGCTTTCTGCTGTTCTGGTTGTCAAGGGGCTTCTCAGGCTTGATATAAACTCCGTTGCGGAAACGCCGAAGCGGTGTCTGTCAGTCGACCTTAGACGTATCCTGGATGCCTAACTTTTAGGCAGTCTTCTGAAGGTGAGAGTTTAGGAGTGGGGAGCGAGTAGAGATGCGAGGAAGGTGAGAGAAAGGAAGCAGGCGTCAGAAAAGTAGCAACCGTAGAGACGTGACTGGTTTGCCCTGAAATACATCGAGGAAACTGAGGGCACGCGTGGGCGGTTTTGGCGCAATATCCGCCACCATCCCAGCCTGTCGTGACCCGGGGGAGCAGAGGGGCCGTCCCCGGCGGCCGCCCGTCACGAGCCGGCGCCGTGACCTCCACCACAGCAGTCACGGCCGAAACAAATCATACACGGCCGACCGAGCGTGAGCGGTCTCCGGAAACTGCTGAGATCACCCGGTGCTCGTAATTCATCGCATTGTGTGCGGTAATGGATACGCGGCCGCCCGGCTGGCCGAAATGAAAGGAGGGTGAATGGGGAAAGCCGCAGGTAAACTGGGTTGAATATAGCTGCAACGTAATAGTTTGGTCTTGTGTTACGTGATATATCTGACAGGATAGGCAAATTCTAGCAATTTGTTCTCTCATTGTCTGAAAACATGGAATGATGTGTAAGCTTGTTCGACGCGATGTCTCATGTAGTTATACCCGGTGTCGCTGAGTGCCTGTGTGGGTGGTCCGGCCGTCGGCGCTCTCCGCGCCCCGTGTTTCACCTGCGCCAGCCGCGTCTCTCCGCGGGGAGTGCTGTGTGTGTTGTCGCTCTCCGATGCCGAGTGTTTATTTTCGTTTCTGTCCGTTCGCAGAGGACACCGGGTCGGCAGACGATGGAATGAAGGGGCCGCAGCCTGCCTCGACTCAGGTGAGTGGCGCGCCGCCGCCGCCCCCGCCCCCGGGCGTACCTGGGCGGGGCCTCTGGGCACTCTGCCCGCTGACCGACCCTCCCCGCTCTCTGCGACTCTCCGCTGACCAGCAAACTACGCACCGAGGCCGCCGTCGCCCCGCCAGGCGTCAGCCGTCGGGCGGTGCCGTCCGAGACGGTCCGCCCCTCCTCTCCATCCAGCCGCGGAGGGCCCGAGTGAAGTGGACCCGCCGCGGCGTCCGCGGAGGGCGCGAGTGGAGTGCGGCCCGCGGCGCTCGGCCTTCGCGTTCCTCGCCTGGCCGTCGCCACCGCGGCAGCAGCAGACGTTTTTTGCCTGGTCCCGACCGCGACCGTCTCGCCGGGTTTTAGGGCGTAGCGCGGCGCCAGACGGTAGATTACTGGGGAGGTGGGAGGTGTCGCTACGGGCCGTCGCCTGGCTGGCTGGCTTTGGAATGACTGGTCTGGCCTTGGGTCGGGATTGCGGCCATTTCCAGTTCACTTAGCTAGGTCCGGTGTTGTTTGGTTTGGTGAGTGGTTTAAGTCGCGTGAGGTTTAGCGCATTGTGGCCCCACTCTGTCTGATTTAAACCAGGTCTTCCTCCTGTCCGACCTGATCTAGCTAGTGCTCCGATCCTACCATCTGTCCTGACCCGTCTCAGACACCGATCACGACCACGCCTCTCGTAGGCGGGCCGGTCCGTCGTGGGTCGTGACTGTCCCGTGATGTACCGGACCGGTTCGGCACGACCCGGCGCGGGCCGCGGGGCAGGCCGGTCCCACTGCAAGCGACGACGAACGGCCGGTCGAACGACCCCCGCTGGGTAACCAGGTCAGCGCCATCGTAATCGCTATCACCGCCATCAGTGACACCAGATCTAGTCCTAGAAGAGCTGATGTTGGTTGAGTGAGGCCCTGGTGCTAGATAGATGCAGGGAATGTCCGGAAGACCGCTGAGGTATTTGCTCCTGTCGTCGCCCGATGCCCGCCCCCAGCCCGTCGCGGGCGTCGCGCGCCGCGCCAATTTACGTGTCGGTGCGTCAGGAGTGACGACAGGACGATCGGTCACTGCCGGCGGTGTCGTGCCGCGTCACACTGCGCCACGCCGCGCCATTTCTCGTCGCGCTCTGCCGCCTCCGGTGTTCCCTGGCAACGCGTTGCTCGGCCAGGGAGTCTCAAGTGACGTCGGTGCTCTCCACGCTCCGACGCCGGAGCAACGACTCGTCCTGTTGGAGCCGTCTGACATTTTCACTGGCCCTGTACCGCTTACAGCTGGATCATGACCCGCGGTGTACCGCTGCTCTCGGCTTTAGCGGTATCGGTGGTGGGTGGGCGAGGAATCCTGCACCAGCTGGTCTATGTGCCGGCGGGAAATTTGGCACCGTCTGACCGCCACTGAAGCCGCTGGTGGTCACTGCGGCGCGCTGTGGATGGTGCCGCAGCCACAGGTGGATTCGGGCTCAGGTTTTCCGACCTCGACTCCGTTATCTCGCCACCCGTAGCCCCCAGACGCTGACCCAGCTCGACCGGAGCTTACGCCGAGCGGCCCCAGGCCACGGCGGATCGCGTGCCGTTTTGCACCGGCGGCAGCCCTGACCTGGAGCCTGCTGTCTCAGCACTACTTAGGGCCACTTCTCAGCAGCTGAAACTGTCTCAGGCCCGGCTCTGTCGGCGATATGGGCAACAATTGGCCGCGCCCAGTCAGCAGCCGGCTGGATATAGGGGTCGAGAGCTGAGGAGACGGGCCGGCAGCGCGAAACCTGTCTCTGCGCCACTGCTCTCACCGCGTCAACAACGGACGGCGCGCCCGGCGGCGACACCTGCTCTCAGAGAGTCGGCCAGTTCACGAGTCACGACCGCTGGGAACGCCGGCTGACCTGGTCTGGCCGCGAAACTGGGCCGACCCGACCGTTACCCGGGCGCGGCGCGGCGCGGCGCAGAGCGCGCCCGTCATCATCCCTGCGGAGGTGAGCTCCGACCTCCTGAGGTGAAGTCAGGACGTCGTAATGAATCAGAGCACTCCTGCTTCTGCTGCTACTGCAGGAGTTCATCAGTAATAATGCCTGTCCTTAGATAACATTACAAGTGCCGCTCTTACTCGATTAAGGTGAAAGAGTGACAGTCGAAGTGAGTAGCACTGACTTCCAGTTTATATGCTTCGGCTCCGTCACTTTCTCTCAGCATCTACATGTGTCTGCAGCCGTCACGGGTAACCTCAGTCAGCATCGGAGCGTGAACGACACCAAAGCGCGCGATCGTACGGACGAGCTCACGCTGCCACCTGCCCGGACATCCGTCGACCAGCTGCCGCCGCCGCCTGGGCCCGTAATTTGTGGGCACCCGCCGCGCCGAATCACTGCTGTTGGCCCGAGCGGCGGCCGCGTCCGGCTGAGCCTCGGCTCGCGTCCGCCCGTGCTCGGCCGCGTCCGGCGGCACCTCAGGTCCTGCCAACACCAACGTGCTCCGTCACAGTCACAAGTGACGAGCCATGACGGATAGCATACGTTACCTGGGTGGGTGTTGGGGCTGGTCTGGAGAGGTGGTTAGGGAAGGTGGAACGAGGGTGGGAATTAGGGCTGGCTGACCGGTCACGCCCGGCTGGTGGCCTTGACATGGTGACGTCATGTCGTCAGTGGCCTGAGGGAGTGACCACCGGACCGGGGCTGGCTGCTGGTCAGTTGTGGACTGATACCGACACGGGCACAACAGCCGGCGGCGGTGGCCGGTGATGAAGTGGTCTGCGATAATTTTACTGATAATTTCATACAGGGCCCTATTTCGGATCCAAGTCTTACATTCGTCCGCAGACTTCTACTGGTTGCAAACGGTAAGTGCATGGATGTTGTTTTTTCACATATAGGCATTCATCCTATCACCAGAGGTGCGGTGGGGCGTGCCCTTTGGCCTCACCTCCAGCACGTCGCGCTAATCGATGGCGCGGCTCCAAGGGCCCTTCAGCCGGCGCCGTTTTAATTGTCGCCTGTTTGCGTGTGTGTCGAGGGCAAACGAGCCCCGCCGGCGGCGGGCGCTGCGGAGTTGACTGAACGTGACGGAGTGGTCGCCGTCGGGGCGTGGTTGGAGGGACTCTATGGACGTCACTGCGCCGCTTCATTTACTTTCGAGGACAAGTGAGCTATGGTGTATCGAGGTCTCACATACAGTGAGCGATGAAATATCGGGGCTGGAAACATACAATATTGTATATTTATAAATAAATATTAAAGGGAATAAATAGAAAGCCTCTGCTGTTTTCTCCACAGACCTTTCATGGGTTCAAGTTAGTTTCAATATGTCATACAAAGTTCTACAAGTCTCTCATATCTGATGACTTTCAAGTTATCTGAGGCTGAATTGTGAATGTCAATGCCATTCATGTTTCCTGCTCCAACTGTTGACACAGCGAGGAATGACTTCCCGATCCGCACCGGGCGTCTCACCCACGGACCCGCTGCACCGCTCCGTGCAGGTCACCTCCTCAAAGAGCACTGAACTGCGCCGGTACGGTCGGTATGTCGCAGAGGCCTCTGAGGGGGAGGGGGCCGCTGCCGAGGAATGTTAATCACGTGCGGCGTGTCACCGACTGTGGCGGCGGCGGCGGAGGTCCCCAATCGACCGGTGTCAATACGGGGTGAGCAGCACTGAGTGGGAGGGTGACACGTGCTGTGGAGGTATATGGGAAATGGACATGGTGGTCTGCTGGTAGTGCAGCGTTTCTCTTTCTATAGTACGGTACAGCGTACACTAAAGGTTTGTGTTTTTGTCTTCATGGCGGCGCGGCGATTGCTGTGGAACTGGACATGTTACCCTGGATTGCAAATGCACAATTTATACCACTTGTCCATGATTTAATTCCAGACCCTTTCATTGAACGAAATCATGATGACTGGACCCCTGACTCAGAGCTGTTAGTCCGCGTCTGCCGCTGCTGCCATTGTCTGATGCAGGCCGGTTTGTTTTGTCGGCGTCAGCGTAAAGGGCCGGCAGACGGCAGTCGGCCCCGACGGGGTAAATAGACATCAGGAAATGTTGGCCGGCGGGTCTACCTGCTGACTGACTGCCCTGTGAGTCACTGTGCCGTGTGTCTACAGTGAGTCGAGCTGGATTTTCGCCAATAATCGGTGTCAGATGCGCAGCCGGTACCTGTGTCTTTAGAGATGATATTCTAAACGGTTATAGGGGCGACTGTGCGACCCCTTCTTGTTTCCGGAAATGGATGTTAGTATACATTACGCCGGTGAAGCGCCGTTCAGTGTTAACTACCCACGTTGTTGAAAGTTTGACGAAAGTCGTGCTGAAGCCGCTCCTTTCCGTAGGTGTTTCTTTCTGGTTGTAAATGGCCTGTTGGTAGCTGCCAGAGTGGTTGCAGCATTTTTAACAGGCATAATATCGGCAGGCATGGAAAGTGCGCCAGTATCTCGGCTGGCCGAATGAGCGTCATCGATCATCGGTAAGAGCTCAAGCGAGCCATAGTCCGCTGTATTACATTTTTCCTCGGACCTCCGTCCACATATTCGGGTCTCTGGAACCGCCTGGGACTAATATCATACAGCTCAGTTTAAATAATACGCCACTACAGTGTGTAAATCCTCTTTTGATTTAAACCGGCGCCGCCGCTGCGGAGACCCGGGCTGTTCGGCTGTCTGGCGATAATTTCTCCCGGGGAGAAGTCTGGGCCATTACTTTGGTCACGAGCCGTTTCCATTGTAAGTGAATGGCTCCGTTCGGACCGGAACGAGCGCTGCATATTTGAAGGGCAGCTGAGCGACGGTGTAATGGAACGGGCGGCCGAGCTCCAGCCGAGGAGCCGGTGGGGTCGAGCCCCGGGGCGCCGCCGCGCCGGTCCGCTCCACTCCCGCCGCTGGCTGGTCTTCCCACGGGGGCTGTGGAAAGCGAGTTCCAAACGTAATATTCGCCAGTGACCAGACCGGAGTGAGTTCAACCGAACAGTAAGCTGTGGCGGGGAGTCTCTGAACGTTTACCCAGCCCAGTTCAAGCCGCCTTACA